TTGATAAATGGTGAATGACACGTGTGATACGGGGAGCAATTGACGCTTCTGAATGCGGTGAATTGGGTGATACACTAAGATTAACTGTGAATGGGTGATGATGAAAAATGATGAATGTACCTGTGGATAGGCTTGTGTGAGAAATTAGTGATGACAATCTGGTGATAGAGAGGTAGATTGACCTCTGATTGGAGTTGAATGGGAGTGATGACCTAACGTGATGGGGTGTCGAATGGCGTGATGAACGCTCCTCGATTGGTTGATAGGCGGAATAAACCTCAGAATGGCGGCGTGTGAATTGGGTGAAGACCTGTTGATCGGAGTGTGATGAAATGGTGCATAACCTGTGATGGGGTGTGAATGAAAGTGTGATGACCTGTGAAAATGGGCGTGTTGATGAAATATGAAATGACCTGTGATGGGAGCTGTGATGAATGGTGGATGGGTGTGATGGGTGATGACCTCTAATTGGGTGTGAATGGGTGATGACATCTTGATTGGGTGATGAAAATGGGTAATGAACTCTGAATTGGGTGTGATGGCGGTGAAAATGACCTCTGATTGTGGGTGAATGGGGCGATGTACCTCTGATTGGATGTGATACGGCGCGAGGACCTCTGATGGGTGTGATGGGCGTGAATGAACCTCTGATGGCGTGTGATGCGCGTAATGACCTCTGATGGGTTGATGGGTGATGACCTCTGATGGGGTTGATGGGTATACGACCCCTCTGATGGGGTGTAGATTGGGGTGATGAACCCTCTGATGGGGTGTGCATGGGCGGTGATGACCTCTGATTGGGTGTGAATGGGGTGATGACCTCTGATGGGGTGTGATGGGGCGATGACCTCTGATTGGGTGTGATGGGTGATGACGCTCTGATGGGTGTATGGAGTGATGAACCTCCTGATGGGTTGAAATGGGTGATGCCAATATGGATATAGGATATAGTGGGGTGATGAACCTCTGATTGGTGTGAATGGAGTGAATGAACCTCTGATTGGTGTGATTCGGGGTGATGACGCTCTGAAGTGGGTGTGATGGGGTGATGACCTCTGATTGGGTGTGATGGGCGATACGCTCTGATATGGGTGTGAATGGGGTAATGAACCTGTGGAATGGGGTGTGGATGGGTGATGACTCTTTGGCGTGTGATGGGTGATGACATCTGATTGGGTGTGATGGGGATGAACCATCTGATTGGGTGTGATGGGTGATGACCTCTGATTTGGGTGTAGATTGGGGTGATGACCTCTGATTGGGTGTGATGGGGTGATGACCTCTGAGTTGGGGTGTGAAGTGGGGCGATGACCGTTCTGATTGGGTGCTGATGGGGTGGATGACCTCCTGCATGGGTGATGAACCCTCTGATTGGGCTGTGATCGGGTGACTGACCTCCTGATGGGGTGAGATGGGTGATGACTCTGATGGGTCGTATGGGTGAACTGACCGTCTGTAGGGTGTGATGGGGTGATGACCTGCTGCATTGGGTGTGAGGCGGTGATGACGCTCTGATTGGTGTGGATGGGTGATGCCGCTGATATGGCTGTGATGGGGTGATGAGCCCTCTTGATTGAGTGTGATGGTGATAGACCTCTGATTGGGTGTGATGATGGTGACTGACTCCTGTTGGGCCTGTGATGGGCGATGACCTCGATTGGGCTGTGGATGGGTGATGACCTCTCGATGGGGTTGATGGGTGATGACCTCTGATTGGGTGTGATGGGGCGATGACCTCTGATTGGTTGAATGGGTATCGACGCTCTGATTGGGTGTATGGGGATGATCTCTGAATTGGTGTTGATCGGGGTGAGACCCTCCTGATGGGTGTGATTGGGTGATGACCTTCTGATGAGGTTGTGATGGGGTATGACCTCCTGATATGGGTGTGATTGGTGATGACTCCCGATTCGGGCTGTATGGGTGATGACCTCTGTACGTAGGGTGTGATGGTGATGACCTCTGATTTCGGGTGTGATGGGGTATGACCCCTCTGGTTGGGTTAGATGGGGGTTTTTTTAGGGGATGACCTCTGATTCGTGTGTGAATGGGGACGGATGAACTCTGATTGGTAGTGAATATCTGGGTTGATGAGACCTTTCTGATGGGGAGTATAGTGGATGGGTGATGAGCCTCTGAGACTGTGGGTGTGAATGGGGTGAATGACCTCTGTATTGGTGTTGATGGGGTGATGACCTCTGGAATGGGGTTTGTGATGGGGTGATGACCGTGCGATGAACTGGTGTGATAGGGATGATGACGCTCTCTGAATGGCGTGTTGTGATGGTATACTCTCTGATGGGGGGATGGGGTGATGAAACCTTTCCTGATTGGGTGTGATGGGTGATGACGCTCTGATGTGGTTGTGAATGGGCGAAAATGAAAGCCTATGATCTTGGGTGTGAATGGGTATACGCGTGCTGATTGTGGGCATGTGTGATGGGGATCAGATGACCGTGTGATGAGCATGCTGAATATATGGGTGATGGTGTGATGGGTGATGACCTCCCTGATCTGGTGTTGATGGGTGATGAACCTCTGCAATCGGGTTTGATTGGGCTGATGACCTCCTGATCTGGTGTGATGGGTTGATGACCTCTGGAGTTGGACCTGTGTGATGGGGTAATGACCCTTCTGATTGGTGTGATGGGCGAGCGAATACCTCTGATTGGGTGATGATGGGTGATGACTCGATTTTTTATTTTGTGATGGCGAGTGATAGAACTTACTTTGTGGTGTGAAAATGGGTGATCGACCTCTGATTGGGTGTGATGGGGTGCATAACCTCTATGAAATTGGTGTGATTGGTTAGGTGATTATCCTTACTCTGAATGCAGGATGTTAATGGGGTGATGACCTCTGATGGGGTGTGAATGGGTGTGATGACACTCTAGATAAATATGCTGTCTTGAATGCGTGATTCTCCTGATTGAGTGTATGGGGTGAATGACTCTGATTATAGGTGTGTGATGGGCGATTGACCTCGTGAATGGGTGTGATGCTGGTGGAATGACTCTGACTTGGTGTAGATGGGTGATGACCTCCTGATTGGGTGTGATGGGTGATGACTCTCTGATTGGGTGTGATTGGTGATCGAACCTAATGATTGGGTTGTGATGGCAGGGCAGATTGAACCTCTGTATGTGGTGTGGTGAAATGGGGTGATGACTCTGGATTGGGTGTGATGTAGGGTATGAACCTCTGATTGGGTGTGAATGGCAGCGCATGACCTCTGATTGGGTGTGATTGGGCGATGACCTCTGATTGGGTGTGATGGGGTGATGACCTCTGATTGGGTGTGATGGGGTGATGACCTCTGATTTGGGTTGATGCGGGTGGAGTGTACCTCTGTGGTTAGGTGATTGGGTGATGACCATCTATTGGGTGTGATGGTTGATGACTCGAGTGATGGTGTGTGTGAGTGTGGAGTAGATGACCTTCTGATATGCGTGTGATGGGGGTGATGACTCTGATAAGGTGTGATTGGGCGTATGCCATCTGAGGGGTGTGAATGGGTGATGACCATCTGAATTGGGTGTGATGGGGCATGACATCTGATTGGGTGTGATGCGGGTGAATGACCTCTGATTGTGGTGTGACTGGGTGATGACCGTCTCATTGGGTTGATGGGGTGAGACCTCTGATGAGGCGTGTGATGCGGATGATGACCCTCTGATTGGGTGTGATTGTGTGATGGACCTCTGATTGGGGTTGATGGGGCGATGAACGACTCGATTGGGTGTGAATGGGTGGAGTGAACCTTTGACTGTGTGAGATGGCTGTGAATGAGCATCTGAATTGGTGATTGATTGGAGTGAGACCTCAGAGAATTGGGGATAGTGTGATGGGTGTGATGACCTCGTGAATTTGGCAGTGTGGACTGGGAGTGATGAACATCTGATTCGGTGTGATGGGGTGATGAACCTCTGATTGGTGTGATGGGGTGATGAACCTCTGATTGGCGTAGTGATGGGCGACGAATGAGACGCCTTCACTTGCATTGGGTGTGATGTGTGATGACCCCTGACTGGGGTGTTGAATTGGGTGAATGACACTCCCTGATTGGGTGTGATGGGGTGATGACCTCTGATTGGGTGTGATGGGGTGATGAACCTCCTGATGGGGTTGATGGGTGTGACCTCTGATTGGTTGGATGGGGTGTGACCTCTTGGGTGTGATGGTGAGGATGACCTCTTGATGGTGTGATGGGCGATTACCTCTGATTGGGTGTGATGGGCGATGAACCTCTGATGGGTGTGATTGGGCGATGACCTGTGATGGGGTGTGATGAATGGTGATGGGGTGTGATGGGGTGATGACCTCTGATTGGGTGTGATGGGTGATGACCTCTGATTGTGGTGTGATTGGGTGATGACCTGTGATGGGGTGTGATGAATGGTGATGACCTGTATGAATACCTCTATTGGTGTGATGGGTCTGAACCCTGTGATGGGGTGTGATGAATGGTGATGACCTCTGATTGGGTGTGATGGAGAAGTTGACCCATGATTGGGTGTGATTTGGGTGATGACCTGGTGTGGGCTGCTGGTGATTAAATGTGATGACCTGTGATGGTGTCGATGATGGTGATGACCTGTTGATGGGTGTGATGAATGGTGATGACCTCTGATTTGGGTGTGATGGGGTGATGCCTCTGATTGGGTGTGATTGGGTGATGACCTGTGATGGGGTGTGATGAATGGTGATGATTTGTGATGGGGGGCCTGATGATGGGGCGACTCTGATTGGGTGTGATTGGGTGATGAACCTTGTTAATGGGGGTGTGATGAATGGTGTGATTGTGATGGGTGATTGCTCTGATTGGGTGTGATGGGGTGGCTTGAGAACCTCTGAATTGGGTGTGATTGGTGATGACCTGTATTGGGGTTGTGAATGATATGGTGATGACCTCTGATTGGGGTGATGGGCGATTGACCTCGATGTGGGTGTGATTGGTGTGATGACCATGTTGATGTGGTTGTGATGATGGGATGGGGACTTGTGATGGTGATGACCCGATTGGAGTGATATGGGGTGGCGACCTCTGATTGGGTGTGATTGGGTGAATGACCTTGTGATGGGGTGTGATGAATGGTGAGCCCTGTGATGGTGATACACCTCTTGATGAAGGTGTGATGGGTGATTGACCTGTGATGACCTGTGATGAGGTGTGATGAATGGTGATGACCTAAGATAAGGTGTGATGGGGTGTGATGAATGGTGATGACCTGTGATGGGTGTGAATGGGTTGGTGATGAACCTGTGATGGGTGGATTGAATATGAATGTGATAGGTGTGATGAATGGATGGGTGTGATGAATGGTGATGACCTGTGATGGGGCATGATGAATGGTGATGACCTGTGATCGGGTGTGATGAATGATGATGACCTGTGATAAGGTGTGGTGAATGGTGATGACATGTGATGGGGTGTGATGAATGGTGATAACATGTGATGGGATGTGATGAATGGTGAGACTGTGATAGAATGCCTGTGATCGGGTGTGATGGATGATGATGACCTGGGAAAGGGTGTGATGAATGGTGATGACCTGTGATGGGACATGATGAATGGTGATGACCTGTGATAGGGTGTGATGAATGATGATGACCTGTGATAAGGTGTGGTGAATGGTGATGACCTGTGATTGGGTGTGATTGGGTGATGACCTGTGATGGGTGTGATGAATGGTGATGACCTGTGATGGGGTGTGATGAATGGTGATAACTTGTGATGGGGTGTGATGAATCGGTCCTGTGATAGGGTGGAATGGTGATGACCTGTGACGGGTGTGATGTTGATGACCTGGATGTGATGACCCTGTGGGGTGTGATGAATGAATGTGGATGATGAATGGTGATGACCTGTGATGGGATGTGATGAATGGTGACGGTGTGCAATTTATGGTGATTTGTGACGGTCTGCGGGATGACATGCGATGATGGGTTGTGGTGAATGGTGATCTTTGGTAGTGTGTGGAGATAGGTTGTGAAGTCGTGTGATGGTGAATGACGATGATGATGATGAATATGATGATGATGATGATGATGATGAAGATGAAGATGAAGATGAAAATGACAATGAAGATGAAGATGATGGTGATGATGATAACGATGATGATGAAAACGATAAAGATGATGAAGATGGTGAATGAAGATGAAAAAGAAGTAAAGAAGATGAATGAAGGAGCAGAGACAAAGAGAAGAAAAACGAATATATTTTCGGTGTTTTGTGCGGTTTCTTATACCAAAAATGACCGGAAGAAACATAGAAAAGGGCAACACGAGAGCAAACGTCCCGAGCCAGGCCATCCACTCAGCCATCCATCCACCCAACCATACTATCCTTCCACCCACCTATCCACCATTAATCCACCCATTCATCCATCTATCCAAGGAATGTTTAGATTGGTATAACCCCTCCATCTTACTGATAATCCTAGTTGGCAACTACTGAGCTAAGCTCCGCCTCATCAATTTCATTAATTGCAAATATTAAATGTTTGCTATATATATATATTTGCTTGTTTTTTTCGACGTTGTTTTATCATCATTATTAGTGTACCATCTCCAAAGAAAATACACTAAAAAAAAAAATTAACATAAAATATCACACAAATTGCTGGGTTCAAGAAAGGGGGCGGTGCTAATGACATCACCCCGTTTAGCCAATGAGAGTGCGCTGTGAAATATCAAATATAGCTAGATAATCATTTGCATAATAATTCATCCACCCTTCCACTCATCCACCTCAGCCAAACTGAACCTGAAATCCTACTCACCCAGGATGCCCAGCCTGTAGTTGATGGTGACGACGATGAGCCTGCCGAGCGCCGCCAGCACGGAGCCGTCGTACAGGCTGGCCGAACCCCACTCGTACGACTCGCCGTGCACGTACACCACCACCGGGTACGCCACCTTCTCCGTGCTCGAGTCTGGGGGAGGGAGAAGGTTCTAGAGTCTGGGTGAGATAGATAGATAGATGAAGAGAGTGAGAGAGAGAGAGAGTGAGAGTGAGTGAGAGAGAGAGAGAGAGAGAGAGAGAGAGAGAGAGAGAGAGAGAGAGAGAGAGAGAGAGAGAGAGAGAGAGAGAGAGGAGAGAGAGAGAGAGAGAAAGAGAGAGAGAGAGAGAGAGAGAGAGAGAGAGAGAGAGAGAGAGAGAGAGAGAGAGAGAGAGAGAGAGAGATCTGTTGGATTCAATATTAGATTTGGTTGCTATAGGAGGAGAGATTCTAATGATAGTTTTACTAATAACAATACTGATAACAATGATAATGGTGATAACAATAATGATATCGATGGTGATAATGATAGCAATGCCATTAAAAAGGATAATAATGATGGTGATAAATAGTAGCAGCAGCATCATAATTAACAACAATAACAACAACACCGACAGCAACAAGAATCCACCAGCGCCTGCGTGGGGTGGAGGGGCGGGGGTGAGGGGAGGGGAAAGGGAGGAGGAGAGGGAGAGAAAGGGATATTCGCTAATTAACT